TTTGGTGTCACCCGCCAATTGAACTCACTCACTCACTTACTCATTTCGGAGTAACCGTTAAAAGCTTTTTTGTCTTCCTCCTTTGTACAATTTCCATCCAGGTGATCTTGTGGATGTCAGTCAGCAGCAGACCCACGTGCTGCCGTTCCACAAAGATGGAAACGTACAAGACCTTCACCACATTCTTTCTCCTGGATCAAGTTGCTTTTAACAAAACCATCATTGATTCCCTTATCAGTTCTTCGGCACTGCACCTACTAAACCATCACACTGAGTCACAGGTCAGATGTACCAATCATGTACGAGGTCATTTCTGAAATGTGAGCGCGACACTTCTTTTATCTGGAAACAGATCTATTGACCCACCGTATAAGTAACCAATGACTTTGTACTTCTAACTTAAAGGGCAGGTTCATGGTCATGCACATATTTTTCAGCTATTTGATGCATGTTCCTCGTGCAGTTAATCTGCATAAGGTTTGCTGTTGGTTCCCCCAAGTTATTGGAGAATTTCATCTTCGATGTATCCATATACATACATACATACACACACGCACACACACACGCACGCACACACACACACACACACACATACACATACATACATACATACATACATACATACATTCATACATACATAAATTTTGAAATAATGAATAATGATCTATTTATTGACACACTGATAAAATATCGATCATAAAAATACCAATATCAATAGCTATATATAGTTTTAAGTGAGTCTAAACTTTTGATGGGTAGTATATATCAAGAGTGTAAGTGACATAAGCTTTCAGAAGCACTAATGTTCGTCAAAAGGACTGTAGATTCAGTTTACAATGCTCTCTTCCTATCGGATCACCCATCAGAATGAGATGGCATTTTAAGCTGCATGTTGCGAGAACTGATTGATCAGAACCAGCGGCTGAACAAAATAATGATCAGACCTATAATGTCTTTGTCATCTAAACTGGTGCATCATTTGACTTCGGCATATACGACTGAGCTGTGTGCAGATCCCTGTTACTGAACGGTGCAACATCCTGGAGACTGAATGATAAGAACAACCAAGCCCATACGTCTGTCGTCTGTAATTTTCAGTAATTCATTAATGGTTATCCCCATGGTCCCTAGTATGGTGATCTACCTTCAGTCGTTAGCAATCTACAGCCTGTTTTCATATTGTATTGTCATTTATAGTTCCAATATTTTAGATTTAATTGCTAGTTTTAAATGGATATCTGTGATACACTAATAGTTTTACTGTTCTTCGTAAACAGGTTTTTTAATTTCTAACTTTAATCATCTTTAATATAATTAAAAAATGTTCTCGTGACGATATGGCTGAGATATTGCCGATGTGACGATAAAAATTAACTCACTCACTCACTCACTCACTCACTCACTCACTCACTCACTCACTCACTCACTCATTAATGGTTATGCTTTTAGTCTTCACATTTCAGCTGCAATGCTTTCAGGAAGATACATTTCCATTTCTGATACAGAAAATCTGAGTTTGGAACAAAAGTAAAAAATAATTGACTCGCAGACTAAAACCTTTTTGTGCAGCATCAATAAACTGCGTCACGTTCTCCTTTCCTGTTCAGCCTCGTGGTTAAAGTGTTGGCCTGTCACGCCAAGGACCCGGGTTCAATTCCCCACATGGGTACAATGTGTGATGCTCATTTGGTGTCCCCCGCCATGATACTGCTGGACTGTTGCTAAAAGCCGGCGTAAAACCACACCCACTCTCTCATTCACTCATTTAATCTGTCTTGAGTAAACACAAACTGTATAAGACTCAATATCCTGGTTTGTAATAGCTGTTCATCAGTCCCCGTCATGTATCGCTGCACAAACTATCGTAACGAACTTCGAGGATTACCAAAAGAATTTATCTCTTTCGCACATCACAATGAAACCGATATATTCATCCCTCTATGTTTCTGATGGGGCGGTGGGGTAGCCTAGTGCTAAAGCGTTCGCTCGTCACGCCAAAGACCCGGGTTCGATTCCCCACATGGGTACAATGTGTGAAGCCCATTTCTGGTGTCCCCCGCCGTGATATTGCTGGAATATTGCTAAAACCATACTCAGTCACTCACTCACTCATTCACTCACTATGTTTCTGATGCTGTTTTCAACTGATCACTGAAATGTTTTATAAGGCTCTTAAACATACCAGTGCTGGTATTGAGCATTCCAGTGTGCGTGAGCGTGTTCTAGACTTGGGCAATGTTGTTTCAATGGTGAGAGCCCATTGAGAAGCCGCAGCTGATACATCTCTGTCTGTAATGATCAAGTTGCGTTATTGTCCTTTGTCGACAGGTATTTATATATTGTATTGTATTATTTCCATATTTTGTTTCTATTTATATCCAACGATATGGCGGAAATAAATTTAAACTATAAAATTTAACTCACTCACTCACTTTTGATACTGAGTAGAGAACGTATTATTTGGAGGAAACATTTTTTTCTCGGTAAAATGCTTGCTTATTCCGACATAAGACGTCGGTAGTAATAATATTGAGTCGAGTTTTTGGCACTTAAGAATTGATATTTCAAGGAATTTTCAAGGCTTCATGCATTGTTTTATTTTCGTTCGTACGTTCGTTCGTTCAGATTTAGTAAAACAAATTCAAATAGGACATTCTACCAAGCATAACAAGTGACACTTTTTATTGTTTGCCTACAGTGATAAATATTTTTGAAATCATGAAAGTTATGAGATGCGCTTAACGTTGGTTAACGGCGCACTCAGCAATACTCCATATATTATGGCGGTCAGTAAATAATCTACTCTGGACCAGACAATCCAGCGGTCAACAGCAAGAGCATCGATCTACGCAACTGGGAAACAATAGTATGTGTCAACCAAGTCAGAGAGGATGACCCCGCTAGTCGCCTCTCACGACAAGCATTGGTTGCTGAAGACCAATTCGAACCCGGAAATTCACGGGTTCGTCGTGTTTGGTTTGTTTACATAATGAAAAAGGCGGCAGAAGTTGCGACTGTTTCTGTATTGCTATGTCAAAAATTCAGACGAAATGGGGTTTAATGTCGCAGCGTTCAATATGGTTTCAGAAAAAGGGGGAGTGGGTTTAGTGTTGCGCCGTTTTTTACAATATTCTAGGGGCGGGGAACACAAGAAATGGGATTCACACATTAAACCCATGTGGGAATCGAACTCGGGTATTAGGCGTGACGAGCGAACACTGTAACCACTAGCCTCCCCCACCACCCCCACTTACATACAGACGTGCATGAGCATGTGTGTGCTAGTTAATATGGCGAACTGGTAGTGCAACCTCACATAACAGTCATGCCAAAGTATAATATGGGATGCCGACTTATAAACCTGTTTTCACCAGAACTCACAGCACCTAGGAGGGTAACAACTAGTTTCACTGTGAAACTACCAGTGGCTTGACGCGGCAACGATATTGAGCCATCGATCATTCTCTCTCGTGGCAGACTATCTATCTAGAACGCCTCAGAAAGGGTTTCCAGAAATAACAATGCAGATAAGTTCAACCGTTTGCGAATAGTAACGTACATTAACAAGAATCATTATCCGAACCGTTTACAACAATATTAGCAATATTAGCATATTCAAATCAAATTATATGATACAATATATAATTTTATCTCAGTATGTGATATTTGCCTGAGATTGTTGGGACTTTCAATTTCATAAATCAATAAATTGTAAGACAAACGATATTTCTCGCCGCGAATAGCTGCATAATTGCAAATACGTCGAAAGCAACTTTCACTCACTCACTAATCACAAGATTCATTAAATTTGATTGAAAAGACAATTAAAACCGAGAAATCAGGCGAAAATGTAGGCCAGCACTATTAGTGAAGCGGCCCGGTTATTACAAAGTGCAAATAGGTTTGAGGTTATGTGCATTAATAAGAAGTTTCAAACGCTATTTGAATGATGAATCTCGTCTTAAACATGGACTTATCTAAAAAAATACCTTGTCGAGGATATTCACCTTGTGTTTCGTAAGCCTCTAGCATCAGAATAAAAAGTAAACTTTATCCCTTATTCCCAAAGAAACAGAAACACCCTCAGCTAATAATCACTTTATGGTTAAAATGCAACATTAATTCAAATTTTCTTTAGCAAAATCTGCGGATGTGTTTTTAGAACATATCAGAAATGGTTTCCAATAGATTTGGTAATGAAACACGAAGAAATCCCGTTAAGAAGGACGTCACTGCCACCACTGAAGCATCGCTGACTGTGAGATCGATTCAGCAGTTAAATACAGGGTACATAGAGCTAAACAGAGTTTGTGATACATAGGCATGATTCTGGTTTCTAAACGATGCAATTAGCTGATAACATTTGTGGTAATCTATCCAGTTTTTATTTACATCTTAGAAAAATTCACAAGAGAGTGCTATAATTTAAATTAGAGGTTGAATTTCCTGAGCAGCAGTTAAACTTTTGAAAAGTTCAACGACAAATATGTGATTAACCACGAAGTAATATCCTAATGTCAATGTACTAATTTTTACACATGCATTTTTAATAAAAAAATATGTCATATTTTCTTGTGGCTTACACGTCAAGCAACTATTATCTCCCTTTTCATCCGGTGCATTATTACTTCCTGTTTCTTTTGACGTTCGAATTGTGTTGGTATCCTTGCATGTGTTACATTCATATGTATGATTCGATGATTTTGGTGTAGTTGTGCTACATAGTATTGCATCATGTATTAGGTAACATTTGAGTGAGTGAGTTTAGTTTTACGCCGCACTGAGCAATATACCAGCTATATGAAGGTAGCCACTAAATAATGGAATCTGAACCAGACAATCCAGTGGTCAACAGCATGAGCAGCGATCTTCACAATTGGAATACGACCATATGTGTGAAGCAAGTCAGCGAGTCTGACCACCCGATTATGTTTGTCACCTCTTACGACAGGCATGGGTTACTGAAGATCAATTCTAAACCGGATCTTAGAAGAATAGACTAGAATAATACTTTAACGCCTTTTCAAGAATTTGTGTTACATTAGCAGAGCTACTGGCACATCAGAGAGATGCAAAACATATTTACATAAATTCATTGATTTAAGTATCTTCACATTTGTTTAAAAGACATATGGTACTTGGAATACAGGATGTACGGGTTCTCTTAGTTTTCACAATTGGAACTTTGTAGCGGCGGCCTGAAAGGAGGAAATTGTATTCCGAAGTTAAGTAGTGAGTTGGGTCAGATATAATTTTGACAGCTTGATTCACGATTTGCCGCTCATATATTGAGGATAAACATTCAAATCTGACTCCAGCGATTTTACATGCAGTGTTAATAATTCTGTCTATTTTAGGTTTGAGATGAACTGAGAGAGACCCGTACAATAATGGAAGGAAAATGTTAAAATACTCTGAATAAATGCTGCATAAAATGATGACATCACAGATGGGTTAACATTAAAAGATCTCAGTTTACGCAGGAGATGAAGACGTTGTTGACACTTGTTGTATAGGGCTTCAGTGTTAGTGTTCCAGTTCAGCTTACAGTCAATGAAGGTTCCCCAGATACTTATACTCCGACGCTGTCTCAACACATTCACCGTTGATTATCACTGGAAGCATTCCTGTAGGTTTATTCCGAAAGTCAATTATCAGTTCCTTTGTTTCTGCGACATTTAAGAGTAAGTGGTTTTCTGCACACCAAACATTGAGAGGGATGTAGATAATATCATCTAATGCTTGCACACATTTCAGTCAAAGCAACGTTTGTGCATTAAGAGCCATTGTGAATGATAAGTAATAGGTCTGAGACGGATGTCGACATCAACAACTAATGCCTGTACATAATTCAGTGTCTGGCCCATGGTCATGATCGGGGCCAAGCAGACAAAATAATCGGAGATTAAATGTACCACTCAAAGATAAATCCTCGCTGCATCTAATCGACAAAACGTTTACGACAGTTGTGGTATTCATATCACACTCTGCTGTGCTTCATCAATGACCTTATATAACTACGCCCCATGGGAAATTGTGTCTGAGAGACTTGACCATCAGACGCATTTAACCAAGGATCAGATGTTTGTGACATGGAGACAAAAGCCCCGCACATCTTATCTTGTATACAAAGCCTAACGCTGAGACGTTTGTAGCATACTTTTTTCCGCTGTATTTTTTCTTTCTTAAAATTTCGAATACTATTTTTCGTTTCCTTGATTTCGGGCATTTATCATTACTTTGATATTAACATGTTGTTGTTTTTTCAAACATGCAATTTCGAGAAAATGATTGAAATCACGAGAATTTAATCGAAGAAAATACTGAAAAAGTAAAGATTTTGAAAAAAAACCTTGAAGTAACGAGAGCAAATAAGAGAAATTTCCATAAAATCAATCAGATAACAAGAAAATACCTTTGTCACCAAGGCGATTAACTGGCTCGCCCACTTGGTGATTGTCTTCGTGACCGAATTTCCTAGGTCGATGCTCATGATATCATCCCCTGGATATTCGATCATCTATACAGTACAGTCAAAGAGCAGGAGGACTGATGCGTGCGGCGTTAAATGAACAATTACTGACCAAGTATCCGCTAGTTTGAACTAAAAGTCAAAACATTAGTTTAATGGCCGTGCATAATATCTATAGATTCTGTCGAAAGGATGAGCCCCTTCAGAAGCAGTTTACCTCATCTCAGAACACTTTGCAAAATTAGTTTATGGCTACGTTTAAAAATGACCCTTTGCTTGTGGCCGTAATCTAATTTTACAAAGTGTCCTGACTATGAGGGCAACGACAAGTTAACGCCTAAATGAGAATAATGGACAGCAATGGTACAGATAAGCTGCATATCTGCGTAAATTACGCAAATAATTATTTCAAAACTCAATTCCTATTAAGTCATTGCGTACAAGTACGCTTGATTTCTTGTAAATACTCAATAAATGTGATTTCAGCACATGAACTTGGCAACTTGCAGTCTTTCTTTTCGTTTCTCATATTAGAGATCAAACATAACTAACAAACATGTAAACCAAAATTTGAACTTTATTATATTTTAACCGTAAATGGGAAATGGCAAAATACACAATTGAGTTTGAGTGAGGAGGTCGCGTCATAAAAATGGAGTTAATTATTATATAAGACCGCCGCATATGTGCACAGATGTATCTCTCATTTATTTAACTTAAGCCATACAGAGAATTACCCTTTGGTATAGAACAAAGGAGTTGTGTTCTTTCCGAAGTATTTTCATTTGTGAGAATTGCGCCAATATAATAGTTCATCAAACATTTTTATCAAGTCAGTCAGAAAGACAAAATATTCACAAACACGTGTGTGGACCTTTTGGTTTACTTTTGTGTTTACAATGTCGATAAACATCATGTGTTGGCCAATTTCCGGGTGTTATTGAGTATTTGAAGCACGGGAATATTCCATTTGAAACCTCCGGCTGACACCGTCGGTTCCAAATGAATTCCCGTGCTTCAAATACTCAATGACACCCGGAAATTGGCCAATAACATGATGTTTATCTCCTAAATAGATGCTATTGTACACCCGGACGAGCGGTATAAAAGGGTTTTGTCATATTATATCTGATGTTTATCATTCACATCACCGTTATCTTCGGCAGAAGAGCAATTCTGCCAACATGAAACCATTATGCATTATTTATCGACTAATTACCAAAATGTATCATCCTGAAGCGAGTTGGAGACATGAATCTGCTGTGATTTTTTCGTCGTGGCGGGTGGGCGAGAGTTCAGTTTTATTAAGTTAAATTAAGACCTGAAGTTTTACAAACGGTTGCATTTGATGTCAAATGTCACAGTAATATGGTGGTTTACATCTTGTTATTTTGTTTATAGACTGTTGCATTAATCCATCTTCGGAGGACTAGTCTGGTGACATCATTCTTTACATATATTCTTATATTATTCTTAATTTCTTTTCGGCTGACAGAGTGTAGCAGGGTGTCCATGAATCTTTCCAGGCGCCGACGTCATATTTACTGTAGGGGAATATAAAAACGCATTATGGGTGAAAATTGGTAAGAAATATTGAAACAGAGGGATGAAGCAGGTTTCCCGATTTTGATTTTGTATATTTTAGCTGGACCAATGGAAACACTTCACGAAAGAACGATGAGTTTTGTTTTGTTCATTTAAATGTCCCACTCCTGAATCAGTACTTGACACAAGGTTCCTGTTTCCAAACAGATCGAAAATGAACTTCGAATTGTGCACAATAAGCATGATTGCCTTCCAACATAATCAAATACTTTCAATCGTTTCGTATAACACATCCGAACATTGATGTGTTGTTAATAAACCATCTGATACTGACTGGCAATCAAGTGGAGGAGGTCATGACTTGCTGTGCGTTACAGATTTCATTCAAAAGGCAACAATAGCTCTTCTAGTTCCTAAACCCTTGGCACAGAAAGACATGCTGTGGCGAACGAACATTCCACCTCGACTCCAATCAACTTCTGTGTGTAGTTGAATCCATTATGCTATTTATTTCTAACGAGGTGCTTCTACAAGTATGCTTTTTCAATGACCAGCGCCCTGTTATACTTCGACACACATTGTAATAAATAACGTGAATGTACAGTGAAGATGTTGAAAAAATGTTGTGTTGTGTTGCTGATGTAATTTGTGTTTACGAAAGCAAAAGATTGGTAAATACTGTAGAGTACATTGTAAAATAGATTAATACCACCGCGTGGCTGTAATGTGAGCTGAAGTGGGGGGTTATTAATCGTCGCCTCGCACGTATGTATTGGGATGCTTGTATGTGTATGGAATGAAGCCGATTCTATAGTGTTAATCCACTGAAATAGCACGCCACAGCTGACATTTATTCCCCATTTAGACGCATCATATCAACCCGACCAGTATTTGTTTATCATAATCTCGGGACGAACTAGAAGAATCACTTGTGGAAGTCTTGATAACGACGTGATCGGGGATTGAAACGATGACCTTCCGTTCCTTGGCAAAACCTATACCCATTTGAACAAACTTTAAGACATGAAGTAACTAAATCACTAGTGTGCCTCCTTCGGGTTTATCGTGCCGACCATCTTGACGCCAGAAACTCCATATCACTCTGTGTTATGACGCATGGTACCTCTGAGTATCCAGGTTAGAATTCAACAACCCATGCTGCCATAAGAGGCAACTAATAGGATCAGGTCAAGCTCGCTGACTTGGCTGAAGCAGGTTAATAGATCGATGTTCAAATTCCGAATTAAGCCAGTTTGTAATTTTAGACCAGTCAGCAGCAGACCCACGTGATGTCGTTCCACAAAGATGGAAACGTACAAGACCTTCACCAAATACTTTCTCCTGGATCAAGTTCTTTTAACAAAACCATCATTGATTCCCTTACCAGTTCTTCGGCACTGCACCTACTAATCCATCACACTGAGTCACAGGTCAGATGTACCAATCATGTACGAGGTCATTTCTGAAATGTGAGCGCGACACTTCTTTTATCTGGAAACAGATCTATTGACCCACCGTATAAGTAACCAATGACTTTGTACTTCTAACTTAAAGGGTAGGTTCATGGTCATGCACATATTTTTCAGCTATTTGATGCATGTTCCTCGTGCAGTTGATCTGCATAAGGTTTGCTGTTGGTTCCCCCAAGTTATTGGAGAATTTCATCTTCGATGTATCCATATACATACACACACACACACACACACACACACACACACACACACACACACACATACACACATACATACATACATACATACATACATACATACATACATACATACATACATAAATTTTGAAATAATGAATAATGATCTATTTATTAATTGACACACTGATAAAATATCGATCATTAAAAATACCAATATCAATAGCTATATATAGTTTTAAGTGAGTCTAAACTTTTGATGGGTAGTATATATCAAGAGTGTAAGTGACATAAGCTTTCAGAAGTACTAATGTTCGTCAAAAGGACTGTAGATTCAGTTTACAATGCTCTCTTCCTATCGGATCACCCATCAGAATGAGATGGCATTTTAAGCTGCATGTTGCGAGAACTGATTGATCAGAACCAGCGGATGAACAAAAGTATGATCAGACCTATAATGTCTTTGTCATCAGGTGCAT